GTGTTCACAGAGTAGGTGATTAATAAATATTGATTGTAGATCTATATGAATGGATACAGAACAAAGTAAACAGAGTCAAGAAAAAATGCACACAATGACTACAATAATGTACATGGAAAGAATAACAATCATACACAAAAATGATAATGAATGAAGAAGATATTTCCCTCCACTCTCCTATAGAGGTGGGAGGTTCATAGGCGTGGATCATTTTTTTTTTTGGTGTTCTTTGTATTTTCTAGCTTTTTTTAATGTATTCATGAGTTTTCTTTTTTTCTCTTTCTTCCCCCCTTTAAAATACTCTGTAACATAGGCTGGGTTTCTGGGATGAAGGGGAAGGGATGGATACTGGAAGAAATATAGGCAATGTAATATCAAAAGACATCAATGCAAAAATTGTTTTTCAAAATTATTGAATTGTTAACCACATCAGAAACTGGCTGACTGTCCTAAGGCCAAAACTTGAGCCTCAAATCTCTCATATTATCCTTAAAGCGAGGGAGACCTGAAGAAAGAGCAGGTCATCATACATATCTATAGTTGTAATACAAATAAATCTTTCCCATTGCATGAAGTCTACGCTTCTTAGTCTGGTACTCTAAGATGTGGTAGGAGCAATAGCTACTGGGGTCCATATTACATAGGCTGAGCTCTGCCTCTTAGTGGGGACCATACTTTTCTAAGACTTTCCCCCACATAGGTTAGGCTAATTATTTTGTTTGTCTGTTGTTTCCTTATGTGATATTTTGTTATAAAAATTAAGTCATTTCAAGACTAGGGGGCAATATTAATGGTCCTTAATGTTGGGTCCATAATAATGACCAGACCAACGGTCCTTAAGATCCAGGTGGATCCTTCTTCTTTGGCATTAGGGAACTTATTTTGTTTGTTTGGTTTTTTTTGGATTAGGCAATGGGATTAAGTGACTTGCCCAGGGTCATACAGCTAGTAAGCGTTATGTGTCTGAGGCCAGATTTGAACTCAGGTCCTCCTGAATCCAGGGCCAGTGCTCTGTTCACTGTGCCACCTAGCTGCCCCCATATTTTTTTTTTAGGCAATCGGGGTTAAGTGACTTGCGCAGGGTCACACAGCTAGTAAGTGTCAAGTGTTTGGTGTGAGGTGGCATTTGAACTCAGGTCCTCTTGATTTCAGGGCTGGTGCTCTATCCACTGCGCCACCTAGCTGCCCCAGGGAGCTTATTTTGAACAAACAGTTAAACATCAGTCCCAATTGCTCCAAGCTCAGAGTTTGGAAAACTCCTAATATTCAAGCAGAGTTTGGACTGTCTACCTATCTTGACTTCTATAGCTATCTCCAGTTGGTCTCTGGCCTCTTTGTGGTGGAGGTAAATTTCAGTTTATTAGAAACTTTTGGGTAATGAAACAGAAAATGATTAAATATAAGACCTATGGGTAGTCGAAAGGAGCCCCACCCTTTCCCTCAAAAAGTACTGAAACCATCTTTGAGGCTTGATTGGCTGGGACTAAGGCTGGGAACAAGGGACTTCCTTGTATCCTAAGGACCAAAGCCAGATGCAGGCTGTTCATAGGACTGCTGACCAGTAGAGTGCCATGGTGAATAGAGAGGTAGGGAAACTGTGCCCAGCTAAATCCATGCTGTATCCTTCCTTGAATACCTTTCCATGCTCTATAACAACATATGTTCCTTTTGTTAACCTTTAGATGGTCTGTGACGATCTCAGTATATTCTGATCCTAAGCCCAACTACTGTAACAGCCTGTTTGACCTATAACTGAGAAGCACCATGATAGAACTCTAGCTTCCTTTTCCAACCTCATCTTATACTTCTTATCCCATTCTACTTCTCCCACCCCCAATCCATCCCAGGCTTTCTCCCTGACTTCAGTTATTCTGGTCTCTTTATTCCGGAAGGCATTGTGAGCTGGTGGAAAGAGTACTTGACTTGGAATCAGGTTGACCTGGGTGTAAGACCGTCCTCTGACATTTCCTAGCTATGTAAAGTCCCAGTGCCTCCCAGCTTCCATTTCCAGCTTTACCCTTCCAGGAACTTCAAAAGCAATCTCTGAACCTCAATATTTTGCATGATTTGACACTAGTCACTGATGTCAGTGATGGAAAATAGGACTGGTGGAGCAGTGGCTAAGGGAAAGGACATCTAAATGATTCTGTGAGGGGATGTTATCCAGGCTCCCACAGCTGCTAAGTGTCTGAGAGAGAATTCAAACTTGGCTCTTCCTGATTCCAAGTCTAGCAGTCTCTCTATTCCACCATAGGATGGCAGCCATGACAGAATGTGTGACAGAATAATGAACTGGTGTTTTTTCTCTAGGTCTATGGGATTTTTTTTAATAAAAAGAATCGATGAATTTCTCCTACTCATTTGAATCCCTGTATTTGGTGGTAAATGCCTCTCCAATTGAGTGCTCATGGATAAATCCTCATCAGCATGAGGAAGGAAAAAAAAAACTACAAAATGAACAAATCCAAATGAGATGAATTGAAGGACTTCCTTTGCAACCCACTGAGGCTTGAAAAGGGCTGCAGAAGGGGTTGCAAAATACAAATGACCATGTCTGAATTAACTCAGTGCAGCGGGCACATGGTAAAAGCTTCAAAGAGGAGTCTTAGCTTTCAACTTTTATAGCAAAAGGGTCCCATCACTGACACGTATTTTTTTTCTTTGCTTTCTGGTTGTATGAGGGCAATGGAAAGGAGACAAGGTATCACCTTTTGTATTCATTCCCCTATCTACAATTGAGGATTTTTTTTTTTTGAGGACAGGAAATCTTCTTTTTTGAATTTCCAGCAATCCTCTGGTCTCAAGTGTTCCCAAGAGTGAGACTGGCTACAACTGCCCTCCAAGCTTCTTCTTGTTGTTGTTTGTCCTTCCTTTTCCAAGAGGACCAATGATAACATGGAGTGATAGCTTGATTTGAGTGTGAATTGGATTAAAGTGAGGCAGAGGTGCACAAAGTTATCGGCCTCACTCTCTCTTCCAGAATCCTCAAAGTCTAGCAACAGGACAAAAGTCAAGGTGACTGGCAATGGCTTGGGATGCAGTGGATGACCTTGGTGTCTTTGATGTCTGACCAAGCTGTAAGTGCTCCACAGCACCTACTTCAACTGCCTTCGTGGCATTGGAACAAATTGTTCTCATCTGCTCACTCTACCATGCATGTGGAGGTGGAAGGGGGACATGTAAACCTGAAAATGCTTTTGTGTTTCTGCCCATTTCATGAGTTGATGGAGACAAAAATAAATTGAGCACCTGTGGATCCCCAGAAGGCTTTGAGCCTCTCTGTCCCCTGGACCCCTAACCTAGCCTTCTGATGACTAGCTCAGACCTTGTAGTCTCTGCTGCTGGGGATGAGGAGGCTAGTGGATTGAGTTGAAGAGTTCTAAGCTGCCAACTGAATGACCAAATTAAATGGAGCACCAACATGGTGAGCCTTTGGGAGGGAAAGAGAAAGGGCCTGCCTTGCTGCCTAAGGAGGGGCAAATCAACCGAGGCCTAAAATCTGGAAAAAGTTAAAGTTTTGGGGCTGAGCAGTATTGGGATCTTGCTCACGAGTGGCTACCACACCTCCAGCCTGGGTAAGTGGAGGCCCAGTGTCAAAACAAAAGAAAAACGAACAAAACACTCCTGAAACTTTAAAGCAGTGTATATAAAGGAGTCATGATTCATGCTCTAAGCAGGCTCCCGTGCATGTCTGGAATGAACTCCCTTCCATGGCTGTCTTTCAGAAAAAGACTTCTTGGCCCTTAAGTCTCCCCTCAGAAGCTACCTCTTCAGGGATGTCTTCCCTGATATCTCTGGTGCCCCAAATTCTCCTAGAATGTTTGTGCCTCCCCGTCCCACTCACTCTTGTATTATACTTATGTAGAAATAGACTGCTAGGTGGTACGGTGGATGGAATGCCAGGCCTGGAGTGAGGTATCCTGCCTCAGATACTTCTTTAGCTGTAAAATGGGGATAATGATAGAAATAACCTCACATGGTGGTTATAAGGATGAAATGAGATGATATTTTAAAGCACTTAGTGGCTTTCCTTAGTGGCTGGCACAAAGGAGATGCTATATCAATGTTAGCTATTATTATTATTAGTAGTATTATTATTGTTAGCAGCAGTAGCAGCTGCAGTAGTAGTAGTAGTAGCAGTCGCAGCAGCAGCAGTGGTAGTAGTAATATAGTAGTAGTAGTAGTGGTAGTAGTATTAGTAGCAGCAGAAGTCATAGTAGTAATAGTAGTAGCAATAGCAGCAGTGGTAGTAATAGTCATAGTAGTAGTGGTAGTGGTAGTAGTAGTAGCAGTAGCAATGGTGGTAGTAGTAATAGTAGTAGTAGTAGTAGTAGTTCATATCTCTTCCTTTTCTCCCCTGTCATAAAATAAATTCAAGGAGTTCAAAGACTATGCCGTTTTCCATCCTTGTATTCCCAATTCCAAACACGATTTCTTACTGAACAAGTGACTGTTGAATTGTATTGTTTTTATTGTTTTGTAATCTATTGACAAAGATGACTTCCAGGCTAGGAGTGGTGATGAAGATGTTATTGAGGATACGTATGACAGGAAAAGTAATCCAACTGGGTAAAAACTAAGGACAAGAGAAAGCTTACGAGGTACAAGGGGATCCAGAGATATTTCAGTCATATAGGCCTTCAGGGGATCTATGAGCTGGATAGTGGGGGTACTTCTCTCCAGTGGTCTAGACCATAAGCCAGACATACCTAATCATCCCTCACATATCTGGTCTCCATTATCCTATGGACCCTCATTGCAAGTCCATGCAATGGGCTGTCTGCCTTCATCAGCTCTCATCATCACCAAGATGCCACAGGAACACGTAGGATGACCATGTGTCATCTTCTTCGCTTGCTGCCTCAGAACTGGAGAAGCAGCATGAAGCGGGGGAAAAGGGATGGACTTGGAATCAGGAAAACGTGGGTTTACACGCCAAGCTCTAACCCTAACTAGCCTGTAATTTGGGCAAGTATGCTACCTTTAGATATCCACATCACAGGGTTGTGAGGCTCAGATGAAATAATCTCTGTAAGGGGTTTTGCAAACCCTAAGGCACTATGTAAATGTCAGTTATCGATTCTCTGTGCAGGACTTATGAGAAAATGTGTGGGCATATGGATGGGAAGGCATGGAAGAGCTGTCATCAGCGTCAGGGCAGACAGTTCCTGGTGCTGATTCCTTTCCCCACATAGGAGTCAGCCCCAGACACTTGGTGGTGAATCATCAACATTCACCATTTCTACATCCTCTTGGTATGGAAATAGTGAAGTATACCAACTTTCATGATTCTGTTTCATATCATTGTGAATGGAATTGATAGAAATGCCAAACTCAATGATACTCTGTTTCTGACCCTGAAAGTCATATTTGAAGCCAGCAGAGTGCATGGCAACCAGTCGGCCAGATGTATCAAGTATTGGGGAGCCAGAGGATCCACAGAAGAAACTGGTGTCATAGGTCAAGCAATCCTGAGAGTTTATCATCTGATTTTCTTTTAAATTTTTCAAGGAGAACATGTGGATGCATCTATCCTCTTTGTCAGGGCAGTTTGTAGGATTGCATTCTAGCTTCTGCTGATTCTGGAGAACTGTCTGACACTTTTTTACCCGATCTGCTAGAGAGATCACAGTACATATGTCAATTTTCTTCACCTCTCCTTCTGGGTGTCCAATAATAAAAACCATGCCATTACAGGGGAGTTCAGTGCTCTGCTTCTGCTTAAATAAACTCTTAGGAATTTCATTTCCCTTCAGTTTTAAGACTGCATAATCCAAAGTCTCACTTTCCACCTCAAACCAGGGCTCAATACTGATTCTTTTGCTGGAATATTTAGGGTTTTCATCAGTGAAAGTCACAAATGCATTTTCACTAATTGTCTGTGCCCATTTTTGTTCTTCCACGTCACCAATGATGGCATGTAGTACATGTCGACAAGTAAGAAGGTACCTATCCCAGAAGACAAAGCAAGTACCAGAGATAAATCTTCCATTCTTGGTCAAATGTATATATCCAATGGAGTCAACTAAAGGAACAAGTGTCTTAAAGCTTTTGGATGTCATGGCATCCTCAGTTACTTTACTAAATTCTTCTCGATATAGATTAAATAGCTCATTGCCACTTTTTCCAGTAATGTTTTTCTCTTTCTCAAAGAAATCTGTGATCCAGTTCTTTTCCTCTTCAAAAAAAGTATATATTTTTAAGATGCTCTTTTTAATAAAATAGACATTGCTTTCCTTTGGCTTCGATATTGAAGGAATTGGTTTCCTGTCTCTCTTTGCCATCTCTAGCTTCAAAAGCTTGTTATCAGCACTGACTGATGGTGCAACTTCCTGGACGGTACCATAGTCATCCATTTCTTTCTTTGAATTTGAGTTTTGTTGTAAGGTCATTTTCTTAACCTTCTCTTTAAGTCCATTTTGAGATTTTCCTTTTTTAATTTCTTTAACAATCACATCAAATTTTTGGTTTGCTACCTTTTCCACACGGATATTTTTTGTATATTTGACCCCTTCCTTGACTAGTGTCCAATTGTTTTCTGTCACCCAGGGAAGAAATCTGTCGTCATTGCACAGGGCATCATATACAGTGTCTCCTTGAAAGCCATAGACACACAGATAGTCATCGCTTTTGGCACCATAATAAGATTTAACAATTTTTTTCCTTTCTCTCCCCATCGCAGAAACGCAAAATGTGAAACAGTCCTGGTTGGTACTTTTGGTGTATTGCTGTTCATCGTTCTCACTCTTTTTGGTTTTTATAAATGTAATACGAAGATGGGAACTTTTTGGCAGAGACTTCAAGGGCATCCCTAAGTTCACGTATTCTTTACCAGTTTCACCTGTCGACACTCTCATCTCTTCCCCTGGTCGTTTCTTCCGCTCATCCTGGACAGCCTCGTTCTTCATCAGAGTGGTATACACGCTGTCACTGGGTTTATCATATACCTTATAAGTGCCTGATGAACTCTTGTGCCATTGGGCCATCGTAATGATAAATTCAACTTCTGTGTCATCTGTGGGATGCACTGTGGCAACCTGCTCACTGCATTTACCGACCTCACTTGGTATTAAGGTGCTCTTTCCAGGACACTCCTTTCCACCTGGCTGGGTAAGAGGATGCTCCTGTTTTACCTTTTAAAAGAAAAAAGAGAGAGAGAAATGGAGCAGGAAGCACCCTTGCTTAGAGGCAGTGAAGAGGTGGGATGGATAGAGCACTGGGCCTCAAGTAGGAAGACTGTTAGTTAACTGGGGCTTGATGAATGGAACTCATATTAAAGAAAAGGATTTCTACTTTGCTGCTGTATCCTAAGGACCATGAGGCCTTTCCCTCTGACTTGCACTTAACCCTTCCTAGATATATTGTCTCCTCCTACTACAATGTGAGCTCCCTGAGAGAAGGGCTTCTCTTGGAGTTTGTGTTTATGTTCCAGGGATTAACTCAAGCTCAGTGCTTGGCACATAGCACTAAAAAACCACTTCCTTCCTTCCTTCCTTCCTTCCTTCCTTCCTTCCTTCCTTCCTT